CGCCCGCCCCTGCCCCATGGCCCGCCGCCCCATTCCTGCCCCGGCCCTTGGCGCGCTCCGCGGAGCAGCCCCCGGACGCTGCCTACCCTGCTCGAGAGGTCCCGACTAGGCGAGGGTGGGGAGGAGGGGATGCATCCCCATCTTGAGTTAAACCGGCGTTTTTTCCTATGCTCATTTGACCGTCTTACAGGGGCAGGAAAATGCAGTGAGTCCCCACCATCCCTGAATTGCAGCTCTGTGCGTTCATTTTCCAGGGGAAAAGATTTCCCTCAGCAACCCCACCTAAGACTGCTGTTGCCTCTGCTGTGAGGAGATTTTGGCTGGGCACTTCTGAAATGTCCTTTCCAGCTTGATTCATTCTGGGGCAGGAAAATGAGGTTTCTGTACAGAGGAAACTGCTGGGGTTTGGGCAAACTTTCTGCCTCCTTTGCCTTTCTCCCCTGCTGGTCCAGAATATTTTAAACAAAAGAGAAGTTGTTGATTTCTGCTAAATTACTGATCCTTCCTTGAAGATGTCCCTAGTCTTTTAACCACAGGGGCTTTAGGGCCACAGCCATGCTTCTGCATGGAGGATGCTTTTCAAGCTGCAACAACTTCAGTTTCTCCTGCCCTGAGCTGCAGGCACCAGTTTTCCACTTCAAAGTTGCAAAAATGCCAAGGAGTTGGTCTTCTGTGCAGGGTAATCAAGTGAGAAAGATTGAGCAGACAGCAACAGAAAGAGTTGTTTCTCTGGAAATTCTCTATAAAACTATTCCCAGAAGTTGCAAAGTGTAGAGGAAATGCAAACATCCCTTTATATTGTTTGAAAGTTAAATTTAGATTTAATGAGGCAACATTTTCCATGTTACGTTCTGGGTTTTCAGTTGTCATGTATTTGTTGATCTGTTTTAAGCTGTGAAGTGTTGCATTTCGGTGAATCTTGGAAATCATTCCTTCCCTCTTTGCATCTCTCATGAAATTTGGGCAAAGATATAATGAAACCAGTGGAGTTCAAGTGATCAAGATTTAAGTTGTCTTAGGCTCAACTGTTAATTTATTTCTTCTCTTTCAGCCACTCAGATTGTTTTGTGGGCACATTTGCTGGGCTGGGGACCCCACAGCTGGCCTTCAGTCTGACATTGTAGCATTGGGAATCAATTACAGCTTCTGCTTGCCAGGTAATCATAGCAGGAATGGCACCTGAAGGCTGCCCTTCTCTGGGCTTGGCTTTCGAGGGAACTAGCCAAAACAGTTACAGCAAACAGCCCAAAACAACATTTGCAACTGCGCATGATAGCTCTGTTAGTCCAGAGCAGCGAGTCAAGATAAAGTCAGGTCCAGGTCAGTTGTGAGCCAGCTGTAAAAACCCAGTCTCTGTTAAAATTGTTTGCTGTAATGATCTGGGTTACTGGACAGAGAATTATTCTGAAACCAAATATTGCTTTATGCATTGAAAAGTGACCAGCTGCCCAGATAAACTGTTTTATGATACTTATTGTAATCCTCACCCACTTCTAGGGATTTGGGACCCACTTTTTTGTGGCTGAATTGCTCTAGGTTGGATCTTACCTAAAAAATACGATTAATACTGTTTTCAGAAAATGAGAATAAAATCAACTCCTCCATGCAGGGACAGAATGAAATTGTATTTGGTCATGAGTCATATTAGCTCTAGCGTTCCCTGACTTTTGAAGACTTCCTGGGGTAGTTACATGCAGAGATGCTATTAAATAAGCAAAATAAAAGGACTAAGCATGTAATCAGTTTTGGTAGCAAAGATCTAACCTAGGAACAGGGGAAGCTCTGTAATTGCTAGAACTGAAGTGTCGGTGGGAGTTCAAAGCCATCTATGGTAATTACACACTTCGTTGTCTCATGTAACTCAATTGCCTTTCACCTTGAGATGTGCTTCTGATGTTCGTGTGCTCCTTGGACACACGTGCCAGCTCTAGGTCTTGCTTCTGGCCCCTCTGGACCAAGCACAGGAACAGTCCTCCCTCCCCAGGTTGTACTTTGCAGCTCCTGGGGAAAAGCTTCTTTGAGGAGAGGGGGTGGAAAAGGGGGTGGTGGGCTTGGTTCCCCTTGGCAATGGTGGCCCCTGACTGGAGATAATTTTGCTACTGTGAAATCAATGTTCTCAGTAGTTCCTCGTCATTTTGGAAGAAGGCTGCATCTGCCGGTGGTTGCCGGCTCGTGGACTTCCTCTAAGGGTGTGCCACAAAGCAGAAAGCCCTGGCTGCATCTGCTGGAGGAAAAGACCCGGCTCTGTCTGGGGAGGAGCTGCTCAGCAGGTTTCTGCGCTTGGGCTGCTCCTCATGCTGCAGCAGGACAGTGGCTCATGGTTCCCCAGGCTGCCACAATCCCTCCAGGCTGGTGGAGCCCTGCCTCAGGCACCTCCTCTACTCCACTGAGAGCTTTTGGGTGGGATGTTTCTCTGTTGGGGAGTATTTCACCCTGCCTGTTTCCTTACAGTGTCACATTTCCTTGTCCTTCTGGGGAGTTTTGAGGTGGACCTCCTGCAGCTGGTTGTTCCAGAGCTGAGCTGGGGCTGGCCACCACAGGCTTGAGGCAGTGCAGGGTGCCTGCTGTCACCCCCCTCTCTCCCACAGGCTTCTGGAGGTGCAGGATGACTCTCTTTGATGGTGTCTACCCCTTCTACCCGCAGCAGAGGAAGGCCTTCGTGTTCGATGTCAGCACCATCATAGTGATTGTGGTCTTCCTAACTTTTGCTTGCAGCTTCCTGCTCATCATCCCTGGCATCCGCGGACGGGCGGTGCGTGACCCCTCTCCCTGGGGATAAGCATCTGCTCCCCACGTTTTAGATGCTGGGACACTCCTGGCTGGTTCGGGGTGAGGCAGGAGGACAGCAGGGGCTGTTCTTTCCTGCCTGATGTCCCACCTCTCTCCCTGCAGAGGCTGTACTGGACTGTCCGGGTTCTACTCAGCCTCGTCATGGGAGTGGTGATTGTTGGTAAGTGCTGCACAGCCCTTTGAGGGTGGGTCTGGGGGCAGGATTAAACCCTGGGGCAGGTTCTGCATCCAGGAAATGCGAGCTGGTGGTCACAGCCATGGCCTGGCCAAGGCTGGTTGCAGGGTCTATCCTACCCCTGCTCTGCAAAGCAGTCAGACAGCTTCCCAAAAGGCCTTCCCCATCCTTGGCACCGGTGGCTGAGAGCACCTGAAGGTGCCAGTGGTCACTTCTGTATCAAGAGGGAGATTTGCTGGCTGTAATGGCACCACAGAGTTCGAACAACCCCAGCTCTGGTGGGATGCACAGCCCCATGTTCCTCCAATTGTGTATGTGAGCCAATACAGGCAGGATGCAGGAACAACCACAAAACCACGGATGAAATGTGAAGAGTAAATTTATTTTTGTTACCTCACAACCCGGGGGATCCCCAAAGCAGCACCCAGGCAGAGGCACGCAAGTGGCGACACAGGCACCGTGGAGTTCAGTCCTTGCTAGAGGATGACCAAACCTGCTGGTTTTGCCTGTATTTCAGGGATCCAGGCGGTGAGGCACTGGAACAGGTTGCCCAGAGAGGTTGTTGATGCCCCATCCCTGGCAGTGTTCAAGGCCAGGTTGGATGGGGCTTTGAGCAACCTGGTCTAGTGGAAGGTGTCCCTGTCCATGGCAGAGGCGTGGGAACTAGATGATCTTTAAGGTCCCTTCCAACCCAAACCATTCTATGATTCATGGAGGCGCAGTTTGCCACTGTGCTTTGTTCTTTCCCACAGCAGGGCAGGAATCTCATGCATGTTCAACAGAGTGCCTCTAAGTCTCTTACAGGCCTATGTTATCTAAACACAGATGTTCTACTTGTCCAACACACAAGGCTAAACAACAGTTAGTATCATATATGTGTTTTTCTACATCGCAGCTGCAAGTCACTCCAGTGTGTTTATAATCCTCCTCACCGACCTTCCATTATTGTCCCACATCGTGCAAGCCCTCCTGAGCTGCCTGCTCCTGAGGGAGCATGGCTGAGCAGCATGGACTGCGGCCAGGCATGTTTGGAGGATGAGAGGACCCTTGTAGTTTTGTGGAGAAAGCAGGTTGAAATAAAACACAGGCAGGGCAGAGGTTGGGGTGGGGGGGGTAAAGACCTTCCAAGGAGCAAGGCAGGAGGAGATGAAGGAGAGGATTTGATTTAGTAGAAACCAGGAAATCTTCTGTAATAAATGGGATGGTGGTGGAAACCAGGCTGTAGGATTTCCAACTCAGACAGGGTGACAGGATGTGTAAGCAAAAGAGGGGGATAGAGGGGATAGAAGATGCTAGGTGGGGAGAGCAACCAGCCCTGACCCTAAATCAAAGAAATTCTGATGTGAAAGACTGGGCTGATTACAAGACTGCTTGGAGAGGGATGATGAAGCACAACCTAAATGACTCAGCCGCCGATTCAACCAGGCAATAGAAGTAGATAACCAGGCTGTGACCAGCTGCGGAACTCTGCTGGCTGACACATGGGCCAGTCTGGCATGTGGTGGTCACCCTCCACCTGGGGATGTCCAGGTGCTGGGAGATGCCACCAGAGCTGCCCGGGAACTTGGTGCCAGGCTGGACATGGCAGAGAGGTGGAGGTCAGGACTTGCTCCACAGCCTTAACCAGCTCAACCCTGGAGGGCCATCCAGTGCTGCTCTTGTTACAAGGATGCAGCCGGGCGCTGCTTGAGCACACAGGAGGAATTAATTGTTTTAAAGCCAGCTTCAGGGTTTCTGTCTGGCGGCGGCAGGGCACACTCGACCCTGCAGCTAGAAAATGTTCCTGCAGAGCTGCTACTGGATCAGTGCCCTCACAAGTTGATTCAGCAGCTGAACTTATTTTCGGGCATGTTTTCTTGTTCAGCCTGAGATTAAGTCATCACCTTCACTTCCAGCTCATTTCAGTGCAGGAAAATTAAGCCCACC